GTTGAGTTTTGAAATTTACATTTATGTATTTGGAATTTCCCTAATAAGATGGAGCGGCCGAAGAGTGAACTGTCAAAAGTACTGAATATGACGTCACTTATTTATGTGCGAATGTTTAATAATTAAAGTCAGTCATATATCCACAAACATACTCTTGTCTCTCTCTCTCTCTCTCTCTCTCTCTCTCTCTCTCTCTCTCCTCTCTTCTTCTCATATATATATATATATAATGAATATATATACTATAATATTGGCCATATTATATTTACATTGCCACAGTGAGATGACTTTAGTCTCATGAACAACATTAACTAATTGTTATTTACTAACTAATCTTAAATGACTGTTCAGCACAGAAATGAAGCCCAACAATCATGTTTTACAGTCCCGTGGTCTCAGCCTCAGATACTCAACTAAAAGTGATGTCATGACAAAAATGAATGACCAACAAAACATTTTTCTCCTTCATTTCTGTCAAACAAAGCTGTATGTAACGTGTCTCGCGGTTAGTATCATGGTTGCTAGGCAACCTGAACAGCGCGACGAAGCGTATACCGTCCCATTTCACAAGCCTCTCACTTCCGCACTTCTCGTACTTATAGTACGCACCGTACGTAGTACGCGTAGTGCGCGTGCAGTCTCTTAATTGGGACACAGCCGTTGTCTTCAGACTTCAGATATCCATATCTATATTAGTAGTAGTATTTATGTTGCCTGTCTCGTAGACCTGGGTCCTCTGCAGGTGTGTGTTAAACCCACTGGATTATGATTTACTACCTGTTTTTTTATTTATTTATTTATTTATTTTTATTGTTTTGCTGCTTTGTACAGCACTTTGTCAAACCCTGCTGTTTTTTAAAAGTACCATATAAATACAATTAGATTCAATAAAATATTTAAAAAATAAGAAAATGCAACATATTATGTTATACATCATTTTAGGTGATAAAATACACTAAACTAAGAGTATCAGATGAACCAGCTGAAGTAACATTATTTAGTATTCCTATGTTTTTTTTTAATTGGGTCAGCATATTTCTAGTGTGTTTAAGCAGTGATTTGGGAGACAACTAAGTTCTTTTTTTTTAATAAAAACAAGAGCATTAATAAAGTACTTAAGAATTAAGAGAACAAAGCATTAGGACATCTAAACCGCTAATTTAGGAATCTCCTGGGGTAAGCTTTTTATAAGGGATTTCTGTCCAAGTTGCTTGCACCTAGTATTATGGAGTCACAGTGAGGCAAAGGGATCAGAGCAGGTTTAACCTCAAGAAACGGGTCTGGCTATAAATTCACTGGGTCAGTACAGACACCATCCATCTTCTAATTACAGCAACAATCTGGTGTCCGGATCACCCGCCTTTCCTGTCTTCTTCTCCACACCAAATGACGACTGTACTGAAGCCGTAATCCCTCTAAGTTGGAAGCATTACGTCTTTTGTGGCTGGTGGAAATCTTGTTTAGGTCTTGATTACTGTGAGATATAGTAGGATTCTTCAGGATCAAGATTCCCTGAAATAACAGTTTGTGTTGGAGTTCCTGAACAAAAACTGTGAAGATGTGCTGATTTTATACATTTGAACTTAAACAATGAATCCAAAAAAGATATTGTTATGTGTCCGACTGGAGGAAACATTGAAAAAGGTTTCAATTATTTTAGCATATCTGGAGGTTAGAGTTAGTTTTGTGTGTGACACATCAGGTATGTTGTGTCAAGGCTATCCGCAAAAATAGGTCTCTTCACATGTACACCAGAAAACTGTGTTGTTCTGCAATGACAAATTAGATGAAGTTAAAAAAAATCGGCAAATTTAATAAAAAAAAATGAAAACCGATTCATGGTATTGTGTTAATAGAACCTGACAAATAACAGATTTCTAAGACTGAAACCAACACCGATATTTAACAATTTAATATATTGGCCATTTTTATTTCTTTCAGAGATCCGAAACATAAAACGATTTCCATAAAATTTGTCATATGCAATTATCCCACGTGGCTGATTTTTTCCTCTGAAAAAGTTTTAGCAGTTAAGATGTATTTATGAATATTTTTGTTTTTATTGAATTGAAAAAAGGTTTTGTAGTATACAATAATGATGAATGATGACTTGTTATCATTAAGTTATGATTAATCAGTAAGAGCACCTGCTGTTTTCAGACAATCCTTTGCAGCCCTCTTATCTCCTCTGCACACCAGTTCCAGCCACTAGATGGGGCACACACAAGCAAAGGAAGCCATCTTATATTATACATAATCACCTTTGGTTCCCATTATATTTTTCTTTAACTGTTATTCAACAGTCAAGTTCTGCATACTTATCTAACTTTCACACGAAACTAATCTCTTTCTGTCTGAGGCCCCAATTCTGGAGTAGTTGAGAATGGGACCAGATGTTGAGCATCTCATACCTGCTTCCTCAAAATAACCTCACATGCTAATGGCAAGGCGGGGCTGATCACGGCAGGTGTATAAACATTGAATGAAAACACAGAGAGTCACTACTACCCAGTAAAACAGGCAAGTGAGTAACACCCGCATGTACCCCCTGTTCTTTATGCTTTATCTTTAAAAGCTGACAAACTTTTTTCATTGTTCTTTACAGGTTGTGGAGAAAAATGAATGCCATCCAGGTGATTTCCCTCACTTGGCTGTCCATTGTGGCAGCCGGTGCTCAGTCTATAAAACCAGGAAGATGTCCCGTGCCTGCCGTTCAGGAGAAATTTGATGCTGCAAGGGTGAATACCAAACTCCTCACTCTGAGCTGTATTTTAATTTATCTTCATTAAGGTAAACTGGGATGTCCAGTGTGCACATCTGCCTCACAAACAAAACCAATTCAACTCCCTCTACAGTATCTTGGTAAATGGCATGAGATCCAGAGACTGTCGAACAGCTTCCAGAAGGGCCAGTGCAGCACTGCCACCTACAGCCTGCAAAGCCCAGGAGTCGTTGGTGTCCTCAACAAGGAGCTGCTGTGAGTACTTCAGTGCCTGAGAGCACTTTGGATAACATCCGTTATCCGAAAAATGTTTGTACAAGTCAGAGTCTTTGTCCTGCACCATTTCTCTGGAATACATGTAAAAGATAAAGATATGGATATATCCATGGTGCTGTGTGTGGTGCTGGAAGGGCAGACAGATTTGTGTCCTCTCAGTCCTGCTCTTCAGTCTCTTCTTGGATTTAAAATATCATTCACAATAAATGGTTATTCCTCAAACCTTAGACTGCATCTGAAAAATGTTTTAGGTGAGACACAGTTTAGGTTTTACCATAATGTATAACCAGTAAATGAATAAGTCTATAGAGAAGATGGATTCATCCTAAAATGAATCCAATCCATAAAAGTTTACCACTCAAGCTCAGTTTAAATGACTCAGTGCAGTCAGTGGTGCTTAATCGAGCCTTCTGCTAACACTTTTTTTTTCAGTGTTAGCAAATGAACTTAATAAAGGACCCCCCCCCCCACCCCCCCAGCCTTGTCTGATTGTTAATGGCTGTGGTGTTCTCTGACTACCAGCCCACCCTTTAAGGAAATGACAAATCACCTGCTGACTTGAGACCTGAGAACTTGAATTTTACATGTACAATCAAATAATACTAAATAAAATGAAAAATGAAAAGTACTTTTGAAGAGTAAATATGTTGTATGTTGCTTTGACTCTGAACAGTCTGAATATAAAAAGTATTTTTCTAACTTTTAACTGTTTATCTGCTTAAGTCCTGACGGTACCATTGACAGCATCAACGGCACTGCCAAGGCCGCAAGTTCATCTGAGCCTGCCAAGCTGCTGGTCACCTTCTTTGAGAGTATGGACCCTTGTTTTTTGTTTTTACACACATATTAAACATTTTAAACTGGATTGTACAAAAATCCCTTTTACACACCTTCAGACACCCCTCCTTCCCCGTACTGGGTTCTGTCCACCGACTACGACAACTTCGCCCTGGTCTACAGCTGTACTGAAATCGAATCGTTACATGGGGAGTTCATCTGGATCCTGAGCAGAAATCCCAGCCTTCCTAAGGAGACCCTGGAGGAGCTGCAGAGCATCCTGTCATCTTTTGGAGCCAGTGTGGAGAAGCTGCTTGACACCAATCAGGACAGAGATTACTGCAGAGTCATGCACGAGTAAACATGTGCTGTGGTTATCACTGAATGTCTCCATGATAGGTCAATGCATAAAAAATAAAATTAAAAAAATTGGGCCTACTGTCAGATATAATACAAGATTAGTTAATATGCTAATATAATGTCTGCTTGAACTCTTTGGTCAATATTTATATTGTTGCACCAATAAAAGTGGACCATTCTCACTGCATTCCTTTTGTTTACTGTCTCAATATACAGCTGCTGACACTGACACACAACTGAACCAACACACATCTTTAAGGACAGCTGCATTAGAGTGAATTAACTTTATTTGGGGTAACTTTATTTCACCTAATAAATACATTCATTTAAGGCAATTTTCTATTTTTAAAATTGTGCTTTAGTGAAGCTGGGATCAAACTGGGGTACATTTGTGTCTGTGAGCCGGGGTGGAGTCAGTGACACACATCAAGAATGACAAAAAGGGATAAAAAGGATTTTAAGCGGTGATCAGGGTACACATTATTAATGAAGTATTTAAAATTGGGCTTTAAGTGACTTTTCTCTCCTTTTTTAGTTTCCTTCACCTTGTTCCATAGAATAGGTTTTTGCTTTTTTATGTCTAAATCTTTTAACTGGAGCTGCTCATTTGTTAGGTTTCATCCTCATCCTCTTTGCCTTCACTGTTGCTTAATGGAGATGAAATTGGGCTTTAAAAAAAAAAAAAAAAAAAAAAGTCTGTTTTCCTTCATGGAGCACTTTGTTTTTTAAGTGGCAATAAAAATAAAGTGTATCATTAAGTTTTATTAGGAAAAAAGACAAAAAAACCAAAAACGTCATGTGACTGACATCTAACTTTGCAACTCTGAAATTAACCAGTGAAAGGAAGAAGGCTAAAAACATGCTTTTAAGAAGGAGTCGAGCCCCATCAGCAGTAAGTAAAGTTGAAAAGAAAAGTGCTGAAGGTGAAAGAGAAATTGGGACTTTTGTCTTCTGGGCATTGTTGGAATTTAAATCCTAGTTTTAGATTTTAAAAGGTGCAGATTGTATTTGCAATGTCAAAATGGACAACATGAAATTTCTTCACACAGCTTTATTGTTGCATTGTCTTTGCATGCAATCATTGTGCCTCACAGTCCTGTGGGCTGAAGTAGGAGCGTACGTTAACTGGTTCACTGGTTAACTGGTTCACTGGTTAACTGGGCTGCACTAAGTCTCATCCTGGTTGGTGGGGACCATGTTTTCCACGCTGATTCCGACAGAGTACAGGATGCCTTGGAGCTTCTCGAGGGTCTCCTTAGAGAGGGTGGGCTTCCTGCTCAGGATCCAGGACAGCTCCACACGGAACAGGCCGTAGTTGGTGCAGCCGTAGACCAGAGAGTGACCGTCGTAGTCAGACCCCAGTAGGGGCCGGGAGGAGAGTCTGCAGGAGAGGTGAAAACAGCAGGGATATGTGGCTCACTTGAATCTGTCATGACTGAAATGGAAAGTCATTTATGACAACTTACTGTTGAAGGAGACCTCAAGCTTGGAAGGCTCAGCGGGGTTCTTGACTTTGGCAGAGCCGACGATGGCGTTAACGGTTCCATTATCGCTAATAAAATGAAACATGAAATAGAAATTAATTCTACTCGTGTACTTTCCTTCAATTATATATTTTTTCTACAAAATGCTCTCTTTGTATAACTCTGGAACAGTACAAAGGTTCAGCCAGTGACCCTGCGCGTTCATGAGGCATGAGTTTTGTTCCGGGACGTTGAAAACATCTGAAGCAAAAACGTCTAGAACGAGGATTTAAAAAGCAGAAGCAAGCAGTTGTACGGTAATGCTGCTTTTAGTAGAATGAAGCGTTGGTGTGAAGAATAAAAAGCCCTCCGATTATTACAATTATGTCAAGGGCCATGTGTCCTTCTGAGTTTATGCAGAAGTTTTCTTAAAAATTAAAACATTTTCAAAGTGTCAGATCTAAACGGAAATATTTTAGCTGCTCACAGAAGCTCAGTGTTCAGGACCTCGATGACTCCAGGACTCAGCAGGGTGTAGTTAGCAGTGGCACACTGGCCTTTCTGGAAGCTTGTGGGTAACTTATGGATCTCATACCATTTTCCAATGTACTGCAGAGGAAGCACGAGATTCGGAGAGCCCATAATTAATATTTTGTGTTTGTAGGAAAAGCAGGTGTATAGATATCATCTGTATGTCCCACAACATAAACAGTAGAAGAGGAAAAAATTTAGTGTTCACCCTGTTGCCGTCAAAGTTGGCCTGAACAGCAGGCTGGGGACATTTGCCCAACCTCAAGACCTGAGCGCCGATCGCAACAACAGACAGTAGAGTCAATGCAACCACCTGTGCAGGCTTCATCTTCTCAACTCAACCTGCAGAGAATAAAAAACAAACAGCAAGAGTTCATGCTGGAGTTCACTGAGCAAAACATGATGTGTGTGTCAGTTAGTGACAGAAAGAGCCTGAGATGTGAAAAGAATGAATAAATGTGTCCCACCTCTGTGTCATGATAGGGGACCAGTGTGAGAGCTGGCACCTGTTCAAATAAATACTCTGTTCAAACAGTAACAGGTTGGTCATGTAGTCACATCGTTGGGTTTGTTGGATCTCTTGGATCTCTTGGATCTCTTGGATCACTGCTCCCTCCTTCACATTTATTTTTTCCTGAAAGACAGACAACAAATATGAAGATGAAAATCAAAATTACTGAAGTTACACTCAAAAAATGATAAGTTAGCAGCTGCTTATATTTGCACCTATAAATATTTTTAAAAATTGATTCCCCAAAATGCACATTTTACAGAAACAGAGACAACACAAGGCTGGACTTTAAACTGAGCTGTTATTTTAAACTTGATTTTAATTAACATGGTTTCATTTGTTAGTTCCTCAAATATATATATTTTTCATATTTTTCTGCCTTCCTAATCTGTGAGGCACCTTAAAGACACTAACCTGCATGAAACTTCATGCATATTTAGTAATGGAGGAAAGGACCCCAAATGCTGACTCACAGGTAGGCGTCAAAAGAAAACAAGCTTTTATTCAAGTTGAAGGAATAAATGTGGGGGAGCTAGGAAGTAGGGAACAAAGGATCCCTGACACAGGGTGACACACGGGGCAAATGGGTGGCAGACACAACGGGAACCAATCAGGGATAATGAAACACAGGAAAGTAAAATTAAATAGAAAAAGCATGAGACCAAGGCTACAAAAATAAAACAGGAAGTGACTAAACAGGGGAACATCCTTGACTGAGTCTTGACAATACATGGGGAACACCAAGGAGGCAAGGTAAACTGAAAGAAGGAATATTATAAACAATAAACATAGCAGCAACGGGAACAAAAACTAAACACAGCAACTAAGAAACAAACTCAAGACAAAACAGTGATGAAGCCAAAAGTGTGTCAATGGCCCAGCGACTGTGACACAAAGAAAGTCTGACTTTTAGCTGTTTTAATTTTCACTTTAATTAAATCCAGACAAAAAGAGGCACAACCCTGTGGTTTGGTATGGAAAAGATCATGTCTGTGAAATTATTGTTTCTGACAGAAAACTGATGATAAACTTCTCCAGTTGCAGAGGAAACAGGCTGCCTGGCACTAAAAAAACAACAAAAAAAAAAATGAAAAAAACTGATATCCAGGAAGTCATACTTGCTAACTGCAGCCCTGCACAACTGCAAATGTTTCACAGGAAAAGAGGAACGAGACACAGGAGACTGGGGGGCACAGTCACTGCTCAAAATACAGTATATGTATTATTATGAGGGTGGCAGACAAAGGCACAAAGGCATGGACCAGCAACAGCTTGAAAGGTCATAAATGAGGAGACCGAGTGTGGGAACATGCAACAAGGAGAGGAAACACAATGAAGATTTGTATGAAAAGAACCAGTGATTCAAATTTATTTACACCCTTAAAGCGGAGCTAAAGGTTTAGTGATAGAGTGGCTCTGCCCAGGCAGACATTTGTTTCATCTACTGAACTACATCTGACAGAGATTCTCTGGGATGTTGTAAAACACATATCATCATACTGAAACATGAAATGACCCAGACTCTAAAGAGGCTATTTTCAGGGAACCTGAGATGACGTGTAAGATGAAGAGTGTCTGTGTCCTCATCCGACATCAAACAGATTTTGCAGCCAGCGTCAGTCTTTCCACCTTCAGACAAAAGTGCAGCATAAGGTCGGTGCTTACTGCATCTCCTTTCGCACACACAGGTGTGTGAAAAACACGACCCGAGCTCAGGTGTCCCCGCTTTTCTGGACGCTTTGCTCCCACTGCAGCTCTCTCTGCTTCTGGACTCACTTTTCATCTCTTTAACAAAGGGCTTTGAGTGCCTTGAAATGCACTCAGACAGGAAGTGGGTTGAGGCTGACGTAGTTTTTGCGGGTTTGTCATAAAAGGGATTTACATAAAAGAATCAGACAGGGAGCAGCAGGGCTTGAAAAACTAATTAAAAACATTTAAAATTTAGAGATCATTACATGGAGCAGAAGAATGATTGAAAACAGCAGTGTATCGTGATAAATTGCTGCGCTCATTTCGTAATATTAAATGATTAATTATTACTTTTATCTACAGTCTGCTTTGTGATTGGCCTTGTAGAAAATAAAACTGTTGTCTCGAGATATTCCAAGTCTCATTTCAGACAGAAAAATTGCATCACATCTCTGGAGAAAGTGTTTTGCAAACCGCCGTCCGAAGCATTTTACAGCAGAGCTGCCCTTTGATTCAGAGCTGTTCATTTAAATCTTCTGAGACTGAAAGATCAAACTGTGAGACTTTTATTCTTTGCAATCCAACCAGAGTCCAAAAGCTGGTGATGCTCGGCACAGTGGTTCTCTCAGCTAAGTGCCAATGCCAGCAGGCACGTTTAAGATGTGCTTGTCCTGGAGGAAACTTGACCTGATTATGAAGAATAAAGTCACCTGTGTTATTAACATCTACTGTCATGACAGTCGGACCTGAGAGGGAGGTGAATATTAGAGTATTTTACACAAGAGTTGAAAAAATATTCTCCAAAGTCAGAGCAAACTGGGGCTCATCTTTTCTAGTTTTCTGGAAATGTTATAAAACAGGTGGATTTTTTACACACTTGCACCACAAAAAAAAAATGATGATATTCTTCCATAAAGTAATAAAAGAAACACAGTTTAACTGATTTACCTTATCTTTACTCAAAAAAAGGTTTTCATTTAGTTCAGTTAAGCTCGATCCTGTGATGTTTTTTTCTGTATAACCTGTAAACCTGCGTTAGTTTGTGTTTTGGCAGAGAGTGGAACTCATCATCATCATCATCATCATCATCTCAGCCATGTTTGATATGTTAAAGACACCACATACTGTATAAGCTTAACCAAACACTCCCCAGTCTCAAATAAGTTGTTTTCAAACTTGGCAACACTGCACATAAAGTATATCAGAAAAAAGGAAAAATTAACATTTGATGATTTAGGTTTTCCATATTTGAATAAAAGTGGGAAGCAGTGCACAGTTAATTAATCCCACTTCATCTCCACAGGTCATCAGCTATTATGTCTCCAGCTTCTTTATTGATGGGAATCTGAATAACAACAGGCTACATATTTCTAATTTGTTCCCTATTTGAAACACTAAACATTATCATATATAGGCTTTGCAGCTCCACAATTTCACTTCCACATAACAAAGACAAATTCCTCCAATTCTGGAGTGTCGATTGCAGTGAACAACACATTTGTTTAATAACTGCATAAAGGCAAAATAACCATAAGTGCTGGTAAAATCCTGTTTTTCATTTGAATAAATACATAAAAATAAGGGTGCTTTGCTATTTTTCTTATATCACATATTAAGTTTTTTATCACTTGGCCCCGAGGTGTTTGTGTTTAATTTAATTTAGCCGTGAATGCTCCATTCGGTCATTTTTCATGAAAGGAATCTGCTTCATGAGACTTAAAAAAAAAAGAGAAAAGTCTTTTTAAGGCCAATTAAATCCCTGAAATGACGAGCCTGTTTTAATTTTCATTAACATGAAGAAACATGCAGATTTCTTAATTAGCCGACGGCAACGGGAAGCAACCACTTTCATTTTTAAATTATTGTTCAGGAAGATTTGAGATCATGTTCTGTGACCGTATTCTAATTATTTCATGAAATTAATGATAGAGAAAAAGTGTCGGACACAATAATGATAACAGACAATTTATTGCAGCAGAACAGACGCCCAACAGCAAAGGAATATTTGGTGTGTCTGACAGATTTTGTTGTGGTTTGTTCTTCTGTTGCTTGAGGTTTTGGACTGAGCTGCCATTAAAACTTTGATTAATCCACAACCCACTCACACACAGTCGTATTCGTTAAACACGTATACAGAACTGAATTTGTGTTTCTTTGTGGTTGTTTTCTATCATTCAACTGATTTTCAGACTAGAAGAGTGAAGTCAAAGCATACAAAGGCTCTGAATGCAGGGCCCTGAGGCATGAGATAGATCCCACACCAAACTCTCCTGGAGGCTGACAGTGTTTTAGTCTTCCCTGAATGTGAATGTCACACCATATAATTGTTCTCTATTAGACAAACTCAGTCAATTAAAGCAAAGAAAATGATTTCAGTTTTGTGTTCCCTCACTATATTGTCCCCTCTCAATAAATACTTTTTCTGTTAGACCAAAAGTCCCCAGTCATGTTGATGTGTTGCCAAACTTAAAAACAAAGTCTCTTTTGAATACAGCACTGGCTTCACAGTAGTGAAAGTTTGCACATAAATTTCTGAGCTTTGTTGTTCTTCAGCAGAAGGACATTTTCTCAAGCTCTAAGTATAGTGCATATGTACATTGCACTATAGTTAGAGCAGTGTGTTCTCTTCCACATGTTTAACCCACAGCATGCTTGTGTGCACAGCTGCGGGAGCCCCAGCGTAACAGCGGCTGTCACGCAATGCTGACAGATCATATTAATGTTGCTTCTGGTAAAGCTTCGTCAGAAGCAACATGCGGTACAAATTATAATTTTTTATTAGCTTATAATTTCTGGGCTGAATATATTTATTTGTAAGCAGTTTGAAGATGACGCTTACGCATTTGCAGAAGCGCATTTCTCTGCAATGAACAAAAGTAACGCTGTCACTCATGACATTAGAAGAAAAAGAGGCAAAAAAAGCAGTCATGTTGGATTTCTTTTCTTATTGTTTATATTGTCGGAAATTCACTTTTGTAACTGTAAGATCTGCACAAAAGGCATCACAACAAATGCCTTTCAAAATAAAAGATACAATTCTTATAAAACAAGTCTACTGCTCAGCTTTTTAACACATTAAAAGCACTGAACACTCATGAGCTTGAGCACATTTCTGATGCGTCCTCAGATGTAAGCCAGTATTTCATGTGACCATGGCCACACATTACATCACCATCCAGCTCTGCAGTCAGTGCTGTATATAAAC